GACACTGAAAACATTGAAACTTGTAAGCAACTATACGATATCACAGCAATTCAAAAATTGCGAAAATGGAAACGAAAGAATTCAATTTTTTGAAGATTGTTCTAATGATGATTCCGACTACGACTAATGTTCGAATTACTTAATGCTCCAGTGTATGACTAATTTCTGGATGAAATAAAAGAATAAAACTAATTGCTCAACTAAAGAGCACACCACTGCGAGAATTCGCATTCCCATTTCTTCACCTGAAAGTTATGAACATTTTTATGTTGCTTTCTAATATAACATTTAAAGCTAGTCGTCATATCGAAATGAAAATTAAAAACTACATGATTACTTGCCCATCCTCGTTGAATCTTTATTTCTTTCTAAAGAACAACTCAATATTTTAGTTATTTTTCTTGTTAAGAAATAATAAAATTTCAGTGTCTAAGAAGGGTATAGTGTGGGGGTGGAAGGTGGTTGTAAACATTGACATATCTATACCCAGCACTCCGACAATTGCTAAATGATGACCGATATGTAAGTCCACTGTAGTAATAGATGGCTTCCTGAAAATTTCAGGATACAATGTTCAGCTATAATGAAACAGTGATTGAGTGGGTTGTGGGTGTGAACATCGATGAAAATAGTACCCTCATCCACACCCAAAATCCAATTACATTTTGTTAGATCGGACTAGTTTTCTGATAGGATCGAAGAATTGAATAACTTGTGTTGGTGTAACTGTTTTTCATGCGTCCTTTTATCAATAAAAAATTTTCGATAAAAATTTTACTGTTCCAGCATGATTGAAACAAAATACTAGCATAATACCAGATTTTATGTCTTTTAAAGCACCCTAACATATGTACGTTTGAACTCACTGTGAATGATTTCTTTGTTCGTAGTTGAATGCAGTGTTATATTAGGTTTGTATTGACTCATAATCTAACAAATCCATTCTACGAAGCGAAATAAGTAAACTGACAACTGTTCAGCAAATAGACATTTAACAAAGAATAAGTTTTCCATTAGACGTCAAAAGTGAATAATAAGCATTTGTGTCATTTTCTAACTTAATGTATGTTAAACATCCTTATTTTTTTTTCTGTTAAAGTATACTTATGTCCTTCTCTAAAACTTCCATAGAAATACAAAAATCTGTTGATCGAACCAAAAATTTCTATTTGAGTTCTGCTGTTTTAATGTCAGATTTATGTAGATATTAAATCAATTCTAAAGTTAATCGATAGATATTAAAAGAGAAGCGTTGAATCTCTCTAGGAACCATTGCACGAGAATCAACACTGATTCTATTATAGGTTGCTCAACGATTTTTACCAATTTTAATGTTGATTGCGGCAATAGATCGCACGATTAAAGTTATACACACTACCAGCCATAAGTCCCAGAATGTATGATATTCCTCTCATTCTCGACCATTTTCCATGGAATTTTTATCAGAGATAGTTTAAAAAATTGTGTTCGCCAGCACTGACCGAAACTATTTTGACTGAGATAGTATGGAGTTATGACTCAAACATTAATTTCACCTCTATTTACGTGTTGACCAATATTGGATGTGGATGTGGGAGGGTGTGGTTCTGTAATATAGAATAGTCGTCAAACCACGATAACGGGAGGGACTACCAGGACTTATTTTTTCGAGATTTATTCTTTCTAGCGGACTTATTTCTTTACTGAGGATTTATTCTGATTTATTAATATTGATGCTAACCCAGTATACTCACATCAACACCCACACCCACATCCACACCCACACCCACATCCACACCCACACCCACATCCACACCCGCACCCACACCTACACCCACACTTACACCCACACTCACCCACACCCTCATCCACATTCTGTATGTAGCGAGGAACTGTATGGGATTTATCTCAAAGTGCTTACGGACTTATTGAAAAATCCCAATAAATCCCGAAATAAATGCGGAAACTTCGGATTTAAATCCAAGAGTTATGTGTACTTCAAAAAGTGAATTAGGCAGATGAGTCATCCTAGAATATATGGATATCAAAATTATACTGGCAAACCTTTTCTATAAACAGTTGATTTCTATTGGCTACTGCTCAACCACTAGGATTTAGAGATGAATACAGCTCAGATTTGAACTCTTCGCCTTGATTTACCCTAGGAAAGGCGTTTTTCCGATAACTTGATTTCTACTGGTTACTGCTCAACCAATAGGAGTTCGAGGCAAACGGAGCTCAGATTGGAGTTCTCCGACCCAAAAAACCTCGAACTGTCATCTCTATGATCGAAAGACAGAGCTCTAATTGTCGATCAATTAGAGTGTGAACACAAACAGAACCAATTCCCGTTTAATTACCCTTGCAATAGGTGAGTTAGTCTTCTTATTTCTTTATGTTTTATATACCATTTTGTAGCTCGTGAAATTCTCTATCGAATGATGTATAATAGTTGGGATTTGATTTGACTATAATAGGAAAAGTTTTTTACGAAAGCGGGGATTGGTCGATTCTCGCATAGGAAGGCAAAGGGAAAAATGACTATTTTTCCAATAACTCAGCAACGGCTCGGCCAATCCTTCTCATCTTCGAACTCGACCGAGATATTGTTGAGACTAAAGTGTGTAGAAAATTTCATCGCAATCGGACTCTCCTTTCAAAAGTTATCGTGTAAACGGCCGAACGGCCGGACGGACATATTGACCGATTCTAGAGTGTACTCACTTTTTGAGTACACAAAAACAAGTCCCGGTAGCTGCTGTGTTTACAGGAATCTTCTGAAAAACTAGGTCCACGAGTATCACAGACAATGTACAAAGCTCGAAACATCCATATCACATGTAATAAATCGGGAACACTCATAACAAGTCATATTCAATACTGGACAAAAGAAGTGCTACGATTGTTTGTTGACGAAAATTGTCTATTGTTTTTGGATTCCTGGTCAGGACAAACCGATCCTGCAAATCTGGACGAAATATTTGACGAGAGCATTCAACATGAGCTTCTGCAGATACCACCTAAGACAACGGCAGACATTCAACCTTGTGATAAGTACTGTTTTCGATAATGGAAGTATCTTTATCAAATGTGTTTTAATTGTGTAGCACTCGATCAACTTCGGATTGATCTACGATCGAGAAATAATATTTCAAAGCTACACTCTCTCATTCATAACCCATTTAACTCTCACTGATTTGATTCCATGATTAAGTATGCTTGGTACTTATGCGGCTATACGGATCAAGACCCTGGAAGATTCGAAAATGTTCGAGATGTTTGTTTTTCCTTCGACGAAGTTATCTGTACTACTACTGGCTGTAATGCAGGCAGCTTCATATCTTGTAGCTGGTGTAATGTAGTTCTATGTTTTCATCGCTTTTTTGTTGATGATCATAAACAATTTTAGTTTATTAGTCTATCCTGTTTCGTGCATAATTTTTATTGTACTTTTGCCAATAAAACACCTCTAGCGACTCTTACTGACTTGTTCAAAGAATCAAACGATAAATCAGATAGATGCCTAAGTTAGAACCATTGACAAATAATCGAAAAACTCTCTAAAAATGAGCGCCTAATTACATAAACGACTGTTTATATAATAAATATCAAGCAGACGTTCGTTGACTAAAGTGTAACGATTTCTGTTGCAAGAGATACCAGTTAAAAGCTACTCTTAGTATATTTTATCGGTATAACAAGAAAACGTCCAATCTGCTGTGGTATACTACTTCGCATATGTAGAATGACCTTGAAAAATACAGTGAACACAATAACAGAAAAATACGAGAAGAACAAAGGTTAGAACACAATTATGGATCACGCTATGTACGAGAGAAGAGCACACCGAGGATGTCATTCCAAAGTACATAACAAACGGAAAAGGATATTGAGGTTATTCCTTTTATGGATATCGTTACGCACGAGAGAAGAATATACCAAGGATGTCATTCCAAAGTACACATATACAGAACGGAAAAGGATATTGCGGTTATTCCTTTTGCGGTTAACATTATGTACGAGAGAAGGACAAACTAATGGTGTAGCTCCAAAGTACATAAAAAAATTTCAGTCGAGGATAGTGGATAGATTATATATAGGGTCAGAGTATTACATAAAGACTCCTCTCTCATATCGAAGATCAGTTTCTAATTGTAAGAACAGACAAGTCGGCGTCCGATTAGCGTTTCTTGTCGTTTTGTTGATATACGTTTAGTCAGTCAATAGACTCATGTTTCTTCATCTCCTATTACAGTACGTACTGAGTATTTTTTTTACTTTACGTTTATTCTTCTGAAGAATGAAAATGTAGTCACATGTACACGTTATTTTTTCGCATTCTCACCATCAATTTTTCTACCGTTCTACGCACTTTTCTACCAAAACAAAGCGAAAAAGTATGATTAAGCAAAAGAGTTCAAAAAAAGATAAGAATGAAAGGGGAGATAGGCGAATCATAAGAAAGCATACAGAGTAAATATTAGTTAATTTTTTGTTTTATTTCATTCATTAGAAGTTGAAAATATATTCATACAATTATCAATATGGTGCACTTTCTATTCATCATGATCGGTTGGCTGTTGCACAGCGTCACATGCTTTTATTTCATTCGTAATATTCATCATACTCTGATTCGAACTATTTTAACACTTACACCTTGCATAATATTTACTCATATTGGTTGTCATAATCTTCCTAAGATTGATTATCTTTCTATCCTTAAAGTTTCATTCTATTGGATGATGTCGATTCGTTTGATTCATTTAACCGTCTTTGTACCAAATCAATATCTGACACTGCACTCGTTTGTCTTCAAAATTCTATGGAATCTATTTCCGATCGTACCATCGAAATCGGTAGAAAATCAGTGGCCCATTATCTGTGATTTTATATCCGCTGGCATAAAAATAACAATAAATCATTGGCTGTATGAATGGCTCCTTACATGTGAACCAAATGATAGCTATGGAAGAATGACGATGTTTTACTTCGCACTTTTGACGACTTCATATATGATCGAAATGCAAATTGCTCTTATTCGTCTCATGACTCGAGATAAATATACGCTTCAATCGTTTACCAATTTTCCATTATTCTCTCGATCATTGCGTGATTTTTGGGGTCGACGATATAATTTACAAGTTGGTACAGTACTCAAGGAATCTATATTTCAACCTCTTAGTTTATATATATCTTCACGGATGATCATAGCTTTAATAACGTTTATTGTCAGTGGCCTTTTTCATGTTCATATTGTTCTTGCCGTCTTCGATGATACATCATCAGCCTTGTCTACATTTCTCTTTTTTATTCTAAATGGCATTGTTTGTTGTATAGAAGCGTACATGGGCATTCAATTACCGCAACCATTTGGATCATTGATAACACATGTCTTTCTTCTCCTAACAGCATCAATGTGTATTGGACACTGTACACGAGAGGCTACATATTTTTCTGTGAATGTACCACCGTTATATGGTAATCAATGGATTCCAAAACTACCTATACCTAGTATTTGTCCAAAATGAGGGTGTGAGTGTGAATATGGGTGGTTGCATGTGGCATGCGATTGTGCCTGTTGCTCTCTTTTCACAGTCACATCCACACCCACTTTTGTCTATATGTCATCGAAACTTTTTTTTACCTTAATAATCTTTCTGGAATAAATGTCGTGCTTGTGTTTAAAGTTTAAACGTCAGATATCTGATGTCACAAAATTATGTAATGACATAGTTCTGGCTTCTCATATAGCTCATCATTTCAAATCGATGTCGTGCACTGGACCTAAAAGATCTCGAAGTCGCGTCATATATGACTGATAAATAATTCTTCTAAATTTATGCTGAACATTATTCCAAGAATGCGAACATTTTCTAGTTTTTGGATTAGTTTCATCGTAAAAATCAAGTACTCATCTCATATACGCCAAAGAAAATGACTCAAGTACGGGTGTCTCATCATCTTTTTTCTCATAATCTGGATCGTTAGATGCTTCGTCAGTATCTTCCTCGCATTCATCCATTTCATTGTCTGATATATTGTGGTCTATTCTACTTGAAATGAAGTAAGTGATGATTGAGCTGGAATTTTTTCAATACACGTTCTCGAAGCAATTGTGTTATTCGATTTACTTCATCCATCTTCTACTCGTTCGATTATAATCAACTATGTGATAGCTTTTATTACATTACCAAGTCATTGTTTTTTGTTTTCCTTTTACTCCTTACACGTGTCTACTAGCATGATACGAAGCAAAGGATCACGTGTAATAGATTTTTAACCATCCATGATCCGCATGGATACGTTTATTCGATTGACGAATAACAATTGGAAGTTTCGATGACATCGTTTTCTCAGTTGTAAATAAAAATATCAACAAACAACAACGAGATTTATAAGAAATTGTCTTTATCGCAACATCATCATAACAAGGTAAGAACGGCAAAGAAACACGCATGTAGTCAAATGACGAAGAGCGACAAGAAAAACACCAATACATGTGCAGGATGTTGTCATATCGTTCGAAAGAAAAGAACAGCAGAAATTGTTTTTTCTCCATCGATGTTTTTCTCCTTCAAAAACACAGAATTCTATCGAGAAGAAAAAATATTTCACGTTCTTCTTGTGAATATCATTGTTTTAATAGAACTGGCCAAATGTCTTTTCATTTCTATTGCTTCATTGCACAACACCTGGAAAGATTTCCTTTTATCTCGCTCGCCCAGTATGGAAAAAAATACCATCTCGAGTAACTCATTGATGTCGCAATGAGACCCACGTCCCGATGTAATTTTCTTTCTCACAGTTTACTCATGTGTTTTGGCCGTCGTAAATTCATTCATTCTTCAATCAAACCACTCGACAGAACAGAAAAAGAATCCATAGGCTTTAGTTATTTCACTGGGTTTTTTGCAATAGAATTCCCACTGTTTCTTTCCTATAAAAACTAACATCACCTCTCTTCACCGCCATTGTTTCGCTAGATACAAACTATCTCTGAAATTACAAATGCCAAATAAAAATCGAAAAGGTAAAAGAGTAAAGAAAGTTTCTCTTGAAGATTTTCCATCGTTTTTTCTTCAGCTCAACGAGCCGCGCAACGCGCAGCAGCAGCAGCAAGTAACAACAATGAAAATGAAGATGCAATTGACAACCCTACATCCACTACTGCAACATCTGTCCTTCAATCATCACCTTCAACTCAATTGGTCAATGTCGCAGGGCTCGTTGAAAATGCTCCAGTGACTAATCCGCCTCTATCATCTGCCACACTAAAGTCCGCATGGACTCCTCAAGCACCACCAGCATCAGCAGTTCAGCCTAATGCAACTGCTCCTCCTCAAACTGTTTCATCTGAACCATCGGCTGTCCCAAAACCGACACCAGATCAACGAGCACCATCTCAAGCTGAACTATCAGCAGTTCCAAAACAAGCCTGGGCTTCGAAATTTTCTCCTCAATCGACAACCTCAGTTACTCCAAAGCCAGCAGCACAAAAATCCGAACCATCGGCTGTTCCGAAAGCGACAGCAAATCCCTTGTCTCAAGGAGCCTATCGTACTGATCGTGCTGCCAGTGCATATCCAATGGCAAGAGAATCGATTTCAAGTTTAACGACGACGGATTCTGGTATTTCTTTGAGACAATCACGATCTCAAAGTGTTATCTCAAACAGAGGAGGAGGAGGACGACGCCTTTTACTGTCCGCTGTCCCTGATACGGCCAATTTAACTCCAATGCTTCGCCCAGATGCGGGTGGAAGCAAAGGTCGACCGATCTCTATCTACACTAATCATTTTCCGGTTCAGATCGATTACAATGCAACGGTCAATCAATACGATGTGGAAATAATGTTGATTGATCAAGATGGTAACCAACGTGTAGCTCGAAAAGACGAACGTTGGAAAGTAATGCAACTGATTGTTCAGAAAAAGAAAGATTTTCCTGTTGTTTGGTAAGTCGAACTATTCCCTTTACCGATTGGATGATCGATGATGAATCTGAATTTTTGTTTAGGTACGACGAAGGTAAAACATTGTATACGCGTGAATTATTACCAGACATAACCAAACCAATTCGAGTACAAATGGAACGAGATACTCAAATGAAAACATTTCAATTGACCATCAAAAATCTTGTTCGACAGGAAATGATGGAAAATATTCTGAAATTTGTCAAGAAACAACTTCGCACTCGACCACGAGAAGCAGTTCGTGTTATTGAAACACTTTTTAAACAACGTGCTCGAAATGAACTCGTCTGTGTTAAAAATCAATTCTACAATCGAAAACAAACGCTAGATGATCTTCGTAAGTTTCTTTCATCGACTTTCGTTTTGATAGATATGAATGATCGTTTATTTTCATAGACGATGGACGAGGAATGGCCAAAGGTTTTTATCAAGCTTTGTTTCTAACACGACTTGGTCCAACACTCAATGTTAATCTAACATTCACTTGTTTTTATATGCCAATGAATTTTATTCAATTTGCTTGTGAATATTTACGTGAAGACATTACAAAAGGATTTCCAGATTACAAAGTCAAAGTATTCAGACAAATCATTCGGGATCTTCTTAGTATGCTCATTATCATTCTTTTGATTTATTGAAAACGAATTTTTTTTCTTTCGTTAGTTGAAACTGAACACACTACTCGAAATATTCGTTATAAACTCCATGGATTCGGTCGTCCTGCTAATCAGTTGGCGTTTACTCCTCGTGAGGCCAGTGAAGAAATATCAGATTCAGCGCCAACCTTACAGGAAATTACTGTTGAGAAGTATTTTGAACAAAAATACAACATCAAATTGAAATATCCACATTTACCCTGTATCGATGCACGAAGTGGACCAATGAAAAGAGCGAATTATCTACCAATGGAAATGGTCAAAGTCAGTTCTTTGTCATTGAATCTATCAAAAGGCAATCCTACGTTGATTTTTAGGTTGTCGAATGGCAACGAGCATTGAAACCGTTAGATACAACTCAAAGAGCTCGTACCACCAGTAAATCGATTATTAAACCAGATCAACGATATAAGGAAATCATGAATATCATGGATTCCCGTGACTTCGAACAAGATCCTTATCTAAAACAATTGAATATTCATGTTGATAAGACAGAAATGTTGCAAATCAAAGGTATTGATCTATTAGAAATTGATTTAGATCATAAATCGTCATTGATCATTTGTTTTTCAGCACGAATTCTTAATCCACCGGAAATTCGATTTCGTCAAGGTCAAGGTCAAAATGAAATCGTCGAATCTGTTAACGTCGGTAAATGGAGAATCGGTCGAAACCGATTCTATCAAGCACCGGAAATTAAAAGTTGGGGTTTGATCTATTATGGCCATAATCCAAATCAACAGATGAATAAAACTATCGATGATTTCGCTAATCAATTACCTGAAGTAAGACTGTTCGATCTTTGATCGACCCATCCCTCTATTGATAGTGTTTTAGTTGTTGAGACGCAAAGGATTTATCATTCGATCAGACTTGAAATTAGTTCCGATCATAGAGACATCCAATATTGAAAAACCTTTGACTGAAGGAAGCAAAAAAGGTTGGCAATTGGCTATTGTCATTCTCAATACGGATGCTAGTCAAAGCTATAGTGATGTCAAACAAATTGGTCATCAGAAATTAGGTTTACGAACACAATGTATCGATTGGAAAGCATTGTGTAGAAATATGGATAAACTTCATATGTGTAAGTGAAGAACGATTTCACATTCCGTAACTTGACCGAATTCTTTTAGATGTGGAAAATCTTAGTCAAAAGATCAACGTCAAATTGGGTGGAATCAATAGTATCGTCAATACGAAATTAGCTTTGACTCAATCATCTCGAAATGATCTCTTTATGTTCTTTGGAGCAGATGTAAGTCTTCCATCTTGAATAAAAATAGAGAAATATCGTTGTTTAGGTCACGCATTCGACTTCGTCGACTGACCGTCCATCGGTAGCAGCAGTAGTCGCTTCCCGTGAACCGACTAGTAGTCTCTATGCTGCTCGACTTTGTGAACGTAAGTTGTTGATTATTGTTCCACAATCTGATCATATTGATTGATTTGTTTTTCCTACAGAATATCCAAAGAAAGGTCGTTGTTCTATTGAAATCATTAAAGAACTAGACAAAATGGTCGAAGATTTACTTCGAGTCTTTGCTAGAACATGTAATGGACATCTACCGAATAAGATCGTCTTTTATCGCGATGGTGTTGATGAAGGACATTTCGAAAAAGTCCTTGGCAATGAAGTGAACAAAATCAAAGAGGCTTGTCGAAGTAAATTTTTATCATGTCGATGAACGAGATGAACCGATGAAGTTTTTAGGAGTTTATGGAAATCGTCCATTACCATCAGTAACTTTTATCGTGGTGAAAAAGCGTCACAATACCCGTTTCTTTCTCTATGAGAATGGACAAACGCTGAACGTTCAACCGGGTACGATAGTCGATCAAGATATTACTCATCCGTCTCAGTTCGATTTTTATCTGTGTTCACAAGCAGCGCTGTAAGTCTTCTTCTACTTTCATTTCTGTTTGATTGATTTGGGATGATTCGATTTAGAATGGGCACCGCACGTCCTACACTCTATCATGTTCTTCATGATGATGATAATAATAAATTCAGTAGTGACGATATTCAACAATTAACCTATTGGGTAAGTCGAGATATCTTTCATTGTTTGTCAGCGATAAAACAATAATTGATTTTAGTTATGTCACACCGATATGCGTTGTACAAAATCTGTGTCAATTCCTGCACCAGTCTATTACGCTCATTTAGCTGCTTATGGATCGCGATCGCTTGACTTCGATGCAAACCATCCAACACACAGGTAAAGAATATTCGATAGATTATTTTCATTAATAATTAGAGATATTCTAGTGATGGAAATGATAAAGATAATAATGACGATGAAGATGTCGATGATGAAGATGATCCAACAAGTTATTCTCTTGAAGATATCAAAACCAAAGTGATGATATTTGATCCGAAAGTGGCTAATGATATGTGGTTTATCTAAAGGCTTTTCTCCTTCGATCGACATTTTCTCAAAACTTTTCCGTTTCCTTTTTTGTAAATAAAATTTCTTTGACATTTTGATCAGATGCCTTGCTGAATAAATGAGTTTTGATTGATCAATTTTAATTTCAAAGAAAGAAAAGTTGTTAGTAATGAAATGCCAGAAAACGTCGTATTCGATCGGTGATCAGTCGATGAACTGTGTTAGTAAAATGAAAATTATCGAGAAAAGAGTATTTCGAAAGTTTTGGACATAATTTCGCCACGTAAGTGAATTTAAAGATGTCCCTCATGTTACTATAACCGGTCGAAAACCGTCGTTAATCGCGGTTTTTCTGTTTGATCTTTTTCCTTTCTCGCCACATGAATATTTTTCAACTCCTATAATAACGATAGATTTCAGACAAAATCACGCCTTCTTATATTTATGAGCATACTCAAGCCACTGGTGCCAGTCACATTAGCTGGTTTGGGTGTGTGTGTGAGTGTGGGTGTGGGTGTCTTTTCCTCCACACCCACACCCATCCACTCTCACACCAACACACCCACACCCACACCCACACCCACGCACCCACACCCACCCACTCTCACACCAACACACCCACACCCACACCCACACCCACACCCTGATGATGTGTCACTGAATGTAACACGAAAGCTTGAATCCTTTTATTTCTGTTTGAAATAAATATTAAAAAAAACCATGCTTTTTGCAGCAGTTATCTTAGTAGCACATATACTAAAAGAAGGTCGAATTGTGATTCCAACATTAACGATGATGGAAGGCATCAGTCAGAAACTGAAAAGTCCTGTCATAGACTATGCTCATGCACGTGCAAGTGTCACTGCCATGTATCAAGCGGGAATTCCAATTCTTGCCAGAACAGACGCAAATGCAACACCAGGTACGCCTTTCCCAGTCTCGCATGGAGAAAGTCTTCACCATGACCTCGAGCTGCTTGTGGCAGCTGATTTATCAACCATTGATGCCTTGCGAGCCGCTACATCGCTTCCGGCAAAATATTTTGGTCTTAATGATCGCGGCGTGATCAAACCTGGTCTTCGAGCCGATCTGGTTCTTATTGGAGGCGATCGATCAAAGATATACGCGCAACAAGATTGATCCAAAAAGTTTGGTGTGGTGGAATAGAATATGCACCCAAATGACTGCAAGATGATTCTATATTCTTAGACTTTAGATTAACTGAAGTTGCTTAACTATCTTTTTCCATTAAATGAAAAGAATTACTTTCACTATGTGGTTGCGATGATGCTTGCGAGCATCTTTGAATAAACTGTTTAATAGCTGTATGAAATGACCCTCGACTGATTTCATTCTCTTTATTTTCGGCATCAGTGTTACATAAATTGTTGATAAGTGCTATTCTAGGAATAGCTTACTCAAAACAAATCTTTCATATTTGCAATTTATAAAGCAAGATTGTAAAACTCACATTTAGAAAGTACAGAGTGCTCAGGATCTCCTCATCATAGATAACATTTTTTAATCTTGATGAAGTATTAATTATCTGTTCACATCAGCCATTTCAACTCTAAATAGCGAAGCTCTTTTGAAAAAATATCATATCCAACGCGAAACTCCTGTTGACTAACTGACCCCAGAGTCTTTCTATGTGGTTCAACTTTTCTGTAGCATATTTTATATTCTTTTGACAACTAACACTTCATGTGTGAAAAGATATTTTTATTGTTTTGAATTCTAACCTTCCAAAAAAGGCATCTTGTCATTTGTCGACGCTTCTGTTACATACTTCATGAGCGACAGATCATTTGATGTGATTCCTAAGCTTCCCATTCATCGTGGACTGACTTATATACATCCACCAACAAATGATTTACATGTAAATACTATGAGTTCTACACGTTGCAAAACGAACGATTACTAAATCACTCTCGATCATATATTTCATTGATCTATGCATGATTATTATGATCAGGTTCTCTGAACAGAAGCTTCTGTGTATATCGAAATATACGAAGCAGATCCGGTTAAGTTCATGTTGCATTTGTTGCATGAATTTACAATACACGTTAATAAGCTAGCAGTCAAATCAGTGATGCAAAGAGAAGAGATGCTAATAAATCACGTTGGTGAAGTTAGCGGTAGATTCGAGTTTTTTCAGCGAACATTTGCACATTAACCTAAGTCTTGTACAACTCGATGAGCTCTATCCAACGATATACTCAGATCTTCGATAGCTCAAACTATGATTTTTCGCTGATCGATGGCACTGGAAAGAATCTAAAAGTCATAGTTTGAGTTATCGAAGATCTGAATATACCGTTAGATGGAGCTCATCGAGTTGCACAGGACAGAAGTATTTTCAAAATTGACACAGTGAAGAAAATGAATACAGACAGCTTTTACTCGAATATGTTTCCAGAATTTCATTGAAAAAAGACAGTATTTTGAGATTTTCTTGGTCATACTTTTGGCTATGAAAAATTTGATTCCACTATTGGATAGAGCTCGTCGAGTTGTACAAGACACACTGATGAGCTGCTTCGACACAAGTTAATGTGCGAATGTTCGTTGAAAAAACTCGAATCTATCGCTAACTTCACCAACGTAATAAATCAAGGAATATAAATTAGAAAATGATCAGCAGATCAATCTGTATGAAACAAACAGAACATATGATGATCATCAGATAAAAAACGATAAATGCAGCAGCGATATCGACTACTTAATTTAATTTTGTGATGGAAAAGACAGCTTCACAAGTTAAAAGATTCTGAACTAAATGAGCATAAATATTTTGATGGACTTGTTATACTTGTACCAGCTAATGATGATAAGCAAAGAATGTTGTGCTGCTTCATATGAGAAGCATAAGTACAATAATTGTGCATTGAATCATGTTAAAACGGCAGTCAGAATGAAACACCTGCATTTTTTGTGTTACCTTTTCGATGTGCACTACCCTCTATTGTTGAGTAATAAAATCTAATAATATAGAAGCCCTCTGACGGGATCTGTAGCGAGATCGAAACCGGTCATGGGAGCTGTACTCACACTCTCAAGATATTTCTTCCGATGTAACCTTGTTTCTTTTAGGGCAACGAACATTACTAGTAGTTTTTCTTTGATCAAAAGTCATGCTTGAAAATTAACCTCAAAAAAAGGTAGTAGGTCTGACTTGTTCATTTCAAGCGTCTATAATCCTAAGAAAAAGAACATTATCACTTGTTCGAATTGTTGTTTGATGAACATATCATGTCGTAGTTGAAGTACTTCCGTTCTAGTTTCTCATCAATGTCGTTTTATGCAATCTAAGAAAAGTTTTAACGATCCATACCGAAACCCATCTGCGCGCTGTATGATTTGTAAATGCAATATACCCATTAGAATTAAACTTTGATACCAAACATTCGAGATAACATTGAAAGCGTTTTTAATGTGTTCTTTTTTTATCACCTACACTCTGAGTGATTTGGCAGTGCAGTACACACCTGGTAGAATCAAACCCTGATATCAGTCAAGGTTATATCTAAAGCCTTGTTAATCTGTTTTTTTTTCAAAAAATCATATAAAAATGATGTGAAAGGTTTGAAAAGCAATCATTCTAACCTGCAATTTTAAAACATGCTTCGAATTATCGTTCTCGTTCTATCTGTTGCTCTTGCCAATGTTGTCATGGGAGATGATTTTGAATCTGACAAACCTCAGTGTGTACTAAACTACGGTGCAACTCTTCCTGATTTTCCATGTAATGGTTATTTGTCCACAGATTCCAGATGCAACAATAGTTTTCTGAATATTGCTAATACACCATTCTACGGTTGTTCGAATGTCAGTTTATTTTGGAATTATCCAATGCAGAACTTGACAATCACTATTGAGGCAGCAAATTATGCAAAGTTAAAACAACCATACACAGTCTCATCAAATGATGCTTTCAGTTTTCCTGTCTATAGAGTTTATCCAAATGGAAAAGAAGTCCTCATTTCAAGAAGAACGGCAACACCAGTTGCACAAAGATCGGATGAAAATTATCAAGTTGTATTGAAATTTCAAGGACCAAAACGACTGACTTTCTATGGAGCATCTATTGAATATCAAGTGGCACCAGCTTATAATTAATATTCTACAACTAAGAATGTTTCGAGTTTATCTGCGAACAACATTGGGAATAGAAAAATTCTCCCCTTTATTATATTATTACGTACATTAATTATTCTTTGTCATCATTTTTTTTTCGTCTTAAAGGAATGATACAATAAAATAAGCAATAACCCATAGTTTGTTTTTGTAAGAATTGTTCTGATTGTAAGTTGAAATAGCTCACTCTCAAAAGAGATACAATTTTTGTCCAACGCAAATGACTATGAAAAATTTGCAGCTTTCTAATACAGCTACAGCTATTTAAGTTATTCATAGATATTTAAGCTTTTCGTAGCCATTTAACTATTGACATAGCTATTTAAGAGACGCTCCGTCAGAATACCGACCATTGTGACGGCGGAAAAATTTTAGATTTAGATTTTGATCATGTCATTCACAACCCAAAAAAAAAATGACTCAGGAAACCAAAATGTCAACTCATTTTGATTTATCTATAAGAGAATAGCAGGTACTCCATTTTTTCGACTTCTCGAATCCTATCCTAAAAATCGATTTTTTCAATCCTGGTCGTATTTTGCGATTTTCTCCTCCATCGTTTGACAGTTTGCGGCGCGGAACATCTCGAATGATAGAGAATGAAATTCTCTACAAAATAGTCTATTTCTATTATTTTCTGAATGCAATTTTTCTTGAGAAAGGAATCAAGTTTGAAAAAAATAACTGTACAATTCCAGTCATCAGATTTCAGTGTCATGGAGGAATGTTCTATCAAAGTAACAGATCCGTGGCTGAATTTTTTGGTATGTTGTAGCTCTGCTCACGGCGCATCTTTTGGTATATTCTTCATTGAAAAATTTCATGGGGAGGTGATAAAAATTCTCGTCACAAAAGTTCGAATATAGCATTAGTTTACTCTTCTAACATAATACTAATGAATCATTTCGTGAATACGTCGAGAATGTATTTATTTGAATAGTCTGAAGTTTTACAATCGAAAAGACAATATGAAAACTGATGGTTCGTGGTAAATTCGATGGGTGTGGGGTATCTATTACCCACACCTCATGACGATAAAAGATACCACTCACAATGAAAAAAAAATGTTCTGCCTGATCCCGGTCCTATATCTAGAAATGAGGTATAGAGTAGAATCCGTCGGATTGGCCTTAAATGCTTTACTTAATTTTGCATTATCATCTCAAATATCGATGTAATCTAAAAAAAAGTCAAATCCAATAAAAAAAAACTTTTTTTTCTACTGAAAAATTACTGTGGGAGATTCCTGTTCTGTGAGGTATCCCAGAAGTTTATCAGTACATCTTTACTATTTGATTGAATTTTATCAACTAATTTTTTTAATGTTAGGGTCATATACTGAGTTTTTAATTACACGAAAAAATTTCAACGGCATTCTTCAAAGATATTATCTTGAACCGAAATGCGACAATTTAGCTGGACGTGGGCGTTGATGAAAAGGAGGTCCACACCCACACCCAAGTGAAATGTTTCACTACCATAATACATAGTAGTCATTGAAAAAAAATCCTTGAGAAATGGTCTGAAAATTGATCAACGAAAAACTCTTTTTATTTTGCTGCTTTTCGAAATCTATCGAATTCTTGGACAAAATGTAAAAAAAAACAAATAACAACTACATAAGTCGATAGAACAATTGATGCTCTATGCAACAATGTAGGTAAAACTGTCGAAAATAACGCAATCAATCTGTATGTTTGAGAAATAATCCATTTAGATATGTATATATTTCAGGCCTTCTTAAAATAAATATCACATTTTGTAAAAACAAAACATACCTATTTTTTAACTTAATCGAGTTGATGAATCCTCTTGTTTTGTATTCTTATTTGAAGGTGAGCAATGTGAAAAACTAATTCTTGATAAACTAATGACAGTGATTCTTAACTTAAAACAGGGTGTGGGTGTGGATAAGGAGTTTGTGTGAATTAAGAGAAGGGACACACCCACATTCCACACCCTAAAATATCATTCTCTTTCTCAGAACACACTCAATAAAAATAAGAATATCAAACTAAGAATAATCGATAAAGAGGGTAATGAAAATATTTCATATTGTTCCTTATAGGAGAGACTCAAGTATGATCAGAATAGCTAACTGAAAAATGAGGAAAAAGAAGGAAAGGAAAATATTCAACTCTTCTTCTGAGAACAGACAGTTAAGGAAGATTAGAAAATGAAACTGAGAAAAAAAGGAAAAGGAGTGAAATGAAAATATTCAATTCTTCTTCAGACAATAGACACTCAACTATGATCAGAATAACTAAATGGCTAAAAACAAAAAAGAGTTAATGAAAATGTTTTATATTCTTAGTCCCAATAGATACTCAATAAAAGTTAAGATCGCGAAACGAAGAAGTATGAAAAAGTCGGCAGCTGATTAGTTTTTAGTCGATGACCATCGGAAGATATTATAGATGTTATGTTACTGTTTTAATGGCAGAGTTTGTTGGATGTTCGATTGAAACGGTTTTCGGATGAAATAAAGAATTGGTTTGTGATTTAGGTGTTTTTGTTAGAATCATTCTGTTGAGTACATGTGTTGATATGAAAGTGAAACAGTTACAAAGACTCTATTCCAATACGTTGGCAAAGTTCACATTTTGCGGATCGATGATCGACTTAAGTGAATAATGAGACATCTGTTCAGTGAAGAGTTAGAATATTTTTCAACTGGTGTGATATTTTTTGTATGATTGAATTATTTGTAAGATGATGAAATTGACTGATAGAAAGAAGTTATGCTTTGTGCATGATCCATTTGTATAATACGAGTATTTGGCCGGTTGGGTTTGATAGTTATAGAAACTAATCTGTAGAATTAGTGTACATATAAATGAATGCTTCTATTATTTTTTATATGAAAAAAAAGAAAAGAAAAAAAAATAGTAGTTTATGTCGATTTTATTTTTTATGAGGTTCTTTTGAGAAAAATACGTGAAAGATAAAGGGAAAAACATTTGTGTAATGAATATCGCTTATTGAAGAAGTATACTCTAACAGCGATGTTTGTGTTTATTTTGTCGATGACTAGAATTTCATTTGGCATCTGTCAATGGAGAAGTACCATCCTGAGTATCTTCGTGATTCTTATCATTGTCGGATATAAATGATTTCTTGTTCTGTTTTATTACATCTGTAAGCCTCTTTTGATCGTTTTCGACGATGCGCTGCCGAATTTTGATGGTTTAATAACAACGATGATGTTTATTTGGCGTTGCTATTATTGTTTAAGCTATGTGGAATCGAATTAGAAATTTTGCAGAATTGACAAGCAATGAAAATAGAACCCACTCATTTCTACTAATGAATATGTTTAAATTTGAATCAAAGTTAGTTTCAGAAGAACTCGCTCCTGTTATTAGATCACTACTCAAACAATCTTGTTCAATTGACGAAACACATTCTGCTATTCTTTCAGATATCCATTTCGACACAAAATAATCCAACTCTAATCCTTTTCTTTACATAAGTGGTTTACATACACCGAATTTGTTCAACTAATCGCAAAACTGTTCCATAGATGAGGTTATCAATCTGTGACAATCCAAATCATTTTCGAAAAAAAAATGTCGACCATCTTTCAGAGAAATGATCATAGATAATAACAAGCGACTAAATCTATATAATATCATCCTCTTACTTAACGAATCTAAAAAGAAGGATTATGGTAAGACTGGTTATTATCGTATACTAACATTTCTTTATGTAAATACTCATGAACTTTCTGATGAAAACGTAGAATAATATACTCTTGTGAGTAGAATAGTAAATCCTTTTGATGAAAACTTTGAGTAATAAACCTTCAAATATGCGTCATAAACTCTTAAAGGGTATACGACATAGGTATCAACGGTTCAAGGGTTTATGGAACCGTTTTTCTAGTGCAAGGGTTGATTATTCTACGAATTTTTTTCAGTGTAACATCTGTTAGCAAAAAGAGGTAAAATTTTTTCCAAATTTTGTACTACCTCTCTGAGAAATTTTTCTACACCCTCGTATCTCCCCCTCAATCTTTGAACTCTCGCGCGCGCCATGATCACGCGTTCATATTTCAAATAGTCTTGGAAATGCATCAGAAAACTATGTTGTAGCAAACGTTCGTAATGGTTTACTGCGACATATGATTGTCAAAGTACTCGATTTCAGTACTCAAAAACTCAGAGTTGAGCATGAGGAGATGTAGAATGAGGGTGAATGAAAAAATTCAATGAGGCATATGTACATGGAGTACTAGAAAAGTTTTTTTTCGCCAGTCCTTTAGACAAAGATTCAAAAGCTAAGTCTAAGGTAGTTTTATAGGTTAGAATTATTTATTCTAATACATATACCATGATGTTTCTCATTGAACTGAATTTCACATGCTTCGTATTCGAATTTTAGACCCAAAAGGAAGTGTCAATATTAAGATTAGAACATTTTCTTAAATCTGAATGTGATTCAATATGACTTTGCGAAAAATTTATCGGTAATTCACACTTTGATTGTTCTCTCAGTTTCATAGTGCAAAGTGAGATCTCAAAAAGAATAATCTTTAAATCTAATACCGTGCCACTTTGAAAACTTGTGACAAGCAGATTTTGACAAGTTAACTTTCGTTTGCAAGATCCCAATGGCATCTGGTCTGTTTAACCGGTACGATTCCTTAGTCTTTTCTTTTTTCAAAAACCTTTGGTCGTTCCCGGTTTAGTTGTCTACAACAAACCAACTACGTAGAATCGTTTTTCGGAAATTTCCTCATGGAAATCCAAAATTCATTACAAAAAAATTCTGTATTATTCATCACATGATTATGGATAAAATCAAGATAGAACCATATTAGTATTCAAAATTAATATCAATATCAATTAATCAGTTTGCTATGCGTATATAGAGAAAGTTATTCAAACCGAAGTTTCTTTTCATGAAATAAGTGTTTCCAAAGTTTCAGTGATGGATTATGTCCATGTTGGGTGATTTTTTCTTTCAAACATATAGGATCCGGTTGAAATATCTCCGGTGGAAATGGACCATTTTTTGCATTGAAATAATCTGTACGTTCTCGACTCGATAGTCGACTTAGCGTAGATGGATAACATCCGATTGTAGTCGATTTAAATAGAAAATCTCCATTTTGCCATAGATTACAAAAATCCAATACATTATTCGAACAAGATATATTTTCAGCAAGAAAATCTTCACTCTGATTGAATGTATTTCCATAACACCAATCATTCCATAGATCTAATCCGAAGCGAATACAAGTTCGTTCATTTACATTTTCATAATATTGCAAACCGGATATGAAATTCATCCACATATTGTACTTAACACCTGTAGTCATCATCACAATACGCATTTGTTGAGATGGTTGATCGTAATAAATCACACCTGAACTGACATAATCAATTTCTGGTATTTGATGAAGAAAATAAGTCTGAAAACTTGGCGGTGTGCAACAATCGTGTGGATCATTCTGATGTTGGACTAATAGATTTTTATCAAAGATCGACGGTATGAGATTTGTTGAACTTTTTATTAATTGAATATCAGAACATTGATGAAATGTTCTTCCTCGATCTTCTTCATCTGGATTATTTGTCAAATAACGTACTCGTAAAACACAATAATCACATAATTCATTCGGCAACTGAATTGGAATGGAAAAATTTGTTTGTGTATTATGATTCATTGGATTATAATCATTAAATGATATTAATATTCGAAAATCTTTCTCATCAGGATCGAGTCCTACAGCAAATGAAATGTCAAGTTTGCCTGGATTAGGTGGATAATAATGATTTAAATGTTGTTGAAATAGAACAGTGTAAATTGTTCCAGCTTCGAGAACCGTTCGTTGTTTCGATGTGGAAGAGTTGAAACCACCACACGGTGCTATTTTTCGATAGCAATCCTTTGAACCAGGAGGATTGAGAGTAAAATTTCCACGCTGCATCGGTTGCCACATGCATAGATGACCAAATGTGTTTGAGGCATACAGCAATGGGCATAGAAGAAAGATAAAGTTGAATAACATGACCGATGAAATGAATTGTAGACAAAAGATAGGCGAAAGTGAGTTTAAAAAGAAATATGAGAATAACAACAATGATAACGCAAAAGATACTATCAAAAACTGCAAGTCATTCGATGCATGTCATGCAACACAGCAATATACTCCGTAGAAGACCATAACTAAAAAAAGCCGCTTCTTTCATATTTTTGCGAAACTCATTTATGAAAATATGCGATTGAGTTTTACGTAGGTGAACGTTTGTTTCCCCCTTACATTCATCCATCCTTATTTGTTGTTAATCGTCACCATAATTTTCTTGTCTAAGGTTAATGAGGAAGTTTACGAAACTGCATTCAATTTTCGATATTTACAAATATAGATGCGTAAACATCGTAGCATCAACATGATATAACCTTGCATAAAGTCTTGTAGCTATGTGAGTTTCTCATTTTGGCCCCATAAAGGTTGCGCTGACAAGCTTTTACTATATGAGGAAAGCTTTTCTGAGTCCCAGTATTACTGCCACTATACATTTGAATCACCAATGCGAACATACGATTCAAAATTACGGACCTTCAAGATAATTGTTCCTTGACCTTCTGACGCGGGTGTGGATGTGGGTGTACGCGTATAGGTGATGATGCAACATTAGTTCACACCCACACCCAATTATATCGACATCCAGATTGAGAATGGATTCACCCAGAATGATTCAAGCACGGATAGAAGAGCATTTTAGTAAGAAAAAGTCAATTTTTTAAACTTATTTTTCTGCTGAATTGAACTAAGTAACAAGAAAAAGGATCAGTAGTAAAAGTTTTCTATATTTATTAGTTTTTCACTAGTGAGTAAAACTTTATCCGAAGTGTAGAAGCTGTCAACCAATTACGGCTTTTAAACTTCTTCGTCAATTATTCAACTATGAAAACTAATTAACAAGAATATTCGATTTTTCAACTATCTCGTAGCACCCATATATAGTACTAATCTCTGAATTCATCATCCATGTTTTATCAATCAGCTATGTATCTAAGCAAAACATTCATACTTCAATCTTCTCAGTATTTGAAAAAACGACTCTCGAGTATGATACAAAGGTTTTTCAAGAGTTCCCAGGAAGTTCATAAGTGTGCCACAGGAGATCTCTGATGGATATCTCAACGTTATTCACAGCTTCACTTGCTGTCTCCACGAACTCTTAGTTGATAACCAGACGTTCATAGAAGATGTCAAACAAATTCTTATCTAAGATCCAGATGTTTCTAAGACGGCCTCTAGGAGACTCTTTGAAGCTTCTATAGGTCGTCAGAAAACTCTATGAAATTTTCAAAGTGCCTATTAGAATCTCAAATAATCCATATATAGCCTCTAGAGATCGTTCGAAGATCTATAAGCGGTCTCCTGAGGAATACTTGGAGATTCCTTCTCGACTCCTTGTATATTCCCTATGAATATCGTAAGGGTTCTCCTACGGCTACCTCAAGATTATCTGTAAATCGCCACAGAATTACTTAAAGATCACTAGATAAAAATTTGGATATTTCAAGTTGAAGGGTGTGGGTGTGGGTGTGGGTGTGGGTGTGGGTGTGGGTGTGGGTGTGGGTGTGGGTGTGGGTGTGGATGTGGGTGTGAATGATAATAGTAAGACCCATACCCACACCCAAACCCACCCCATCCACACCCACACCCCACACCCACCCACACCCAGCCACCCACACCCACCCACACCCTACCATGTTCTTAGTATTACAACAATAAATGCACATTTTTTTTTGAATCATAGATGTAGAAGAGATATCAAAAATGCTGGAATTTGTCTAATTGAGCGTTGCTGGAGAACTAATTTGAACGTCACGCAAATGTATTTTTTTTTGATTGAAGCGTTTCTAAGAAACATATATTGAATTACTTGTAAATTTTTCCTTAGTTAGGGCAAATTCGTTCCAGAATGAACTACCGTCTAAATGGCAACGTTCCATAGACCATCGAAAACGATTTCTGGTGGCTGACAATACGGATGAGTACCGATCTGTTTCGACTAATTTTAGTCAAACAATGACTGGAAACTATACACAAATAATAAAACTCGAACAAATTCAAAATGAGAGATGATATATCCATTATACAGCTCACAAACAAGATTTTGAAAATAGACTGGGAACTGACACTGAAAAACGTTTATATCATGGCTGCCCTGAAAAAGCAGCAATTGCGATTATCGATTATTGTTTTAATAGAAGTTTCGCTGGGGTGAACGGTAGGTTTAGTCTTTTTGTTTTTCTAGAAATCTCACTTGAATGAATTATATCTTCAGGAATCGTATATGGCTATGGTGTTTATTTTTCATCAAACCCAGCCTATAGTCATGGCTTTGCTGACCCAAATGCTAGCGGCGAACGATACATGTTTGTCAACCGCGTTGTAATTGGGAAAACAACTAAGGGTAATCGTACAATGAAAACTCGACCTTTAGGATTCGATTCAACAACTGATGAAGATCATATTTTCATCACTTATCATGATGGACAAGCATACGCCGAATATTTAATTACTTATAAGTAGAACTCAACAACTATTGTTTCAAATTTATGTGAAAAGGTGTTCTTTACTTCTGCAAAGCAATTTATAAAATAGCGTGAAGTGATATTATATTTAAAAAAACTGTGAACTTGTATACAAATTTTTGCATGAAAATATAAAAGCATGCACCATTGTAAAAATTTATGTTTTATATAGTCGAAATTCCATTTTCTGTTTTTGAAAAAAAAACGAGAGTGTGGGTATGGGTGTTGGTCATCGGTTCATCCACAACCACGCCCACACCCTAAAAACTTGAAACTGTCCCCTATTATCAGAAAAAAAACCTAGCTAATTTAGATAAAAAACAGGGAAGATTTTCAAATTCTGTTTTGGTAGGTTATTTTTTTGGGACATCCTGTAGATTAGTAAAAAGTGAAATTTTTCTATGTTTGTGTATAATTGCAAAGCACATCATCTTGTTTATTGTCGATAAAGATGAAAAAGAATGTACAAAATATTCGAGTCGATGTATAAACGATCTATGAGTAACACTTAAATTATAATTTCACATGAATGATATTGGCCAACATGTTTTAAGTCTCCTTGACTCTTCTGACTCTAGGGATGACTGCGTTGATGTTCTAGATTTAATTTCTCAAGCTTATATTTTGGAATTGCCTTCAAGATTGATTCAAGAGACTTTTCGGAAATCCTGTTTCCAAAAAGATTTACATCAACCAGTAACTGAGGAAGATTAGCAAAGAGAATTTAACATCCTTTCTCTCCAATATCATTGGCACCAATATTTAGTTTATGAAGGAGTGTTGTTGGGAGTAGTGCGGCTAAAGTCTCGATGCCTTTATCATCGAATTTATTATCCCACAAGTCAAATTCGGTTAGATAACGATTTTTGTTACGAGAATGGAGTTGTGTTAAGCCTTGCGATCCTAAATTATTTTTACCAAGGTGAAGATAGATGAGTATTGTGTTTCGTAGAATTTGATTGATATAAATGGCTCCGTCGGTTCCTATATTGTTGTTCCACAAGTTTTATTTTTGCCATCTATGCGTATTTCGTTGAGACTCTTCGACAAGAAGGTAGATGCTTTCATCGTTTACGATATTGTCCATGAAAACGCCATTTGAATTGTTACGCTAATTTCCAATTAATTGTTGAAGTGGCAATGTGTGATCACCTTCTGGATAAAAGAAAAATGGAAGCAGCCGAGGAAAAAAAACCTAATGCTTGTGTAAAAGAGTTGTTTATAAATTTGATCTTTGCACTGAAGAAAAGAAATTAGATTTTCTTTGTATGTTTGTACCTCAAATTTTGGATAAGGTATTACAGAAATACTGGTTCGACGGGAGAAACTATCTCTTTGTGACTAGTTACTTCAATCATCGGTGACATTATTAGTATAATTTATTCTCGACGACTTGCCCAATGTACAGAGTAATCTATGAGTTTTTGGAGTCGATTGTAAACTATAGAGAACGATAAATCTGTGAGTAGATGCTACCGTTTGGGTTGTTTCAGTATATTCTGAGAAAGCTTTTAATATTAAAATAGAGGACGCTATCTTCGTTGATACGAACACCTCATGTTCAGCAATGATAAACGAGACGGAAGAGATGAGCATAGTTAAAATGCAAAATACCTCCGGAATATTTATTTCAATAAGAACTTCCATAATTTTGATGTCCTTGTAGGGAAACATAACAAAGGTCGACTACTCTTATAAAACCAGCAAACAAGTTCTAAGCGTGTTTAAACTACATAGAGATCGTGTTTTGCAGATCACAAGGTTGGATCAAAAGTAAAACTGCTTTTTTGGCTTGATATCTTTCTAGGTTTTTAACACCAGACACGGTTTTTTCTCACGTTTCTGTCAGTTATACAAGAGTCTTCTCAATCACTTAAACTGTTGTTTGTATGTATAATAATGCATTTATAATCTTTCATCATTCTATGATGTTTGGCTACTTTGGATGTAGGGTGTAGGTGTACGAACTAGTGAATAAGCTTTACACTCACACCCACACCCACACCCCCATTCTGTTTAGGTTTCAGCAACAATGGAAATGATTCTACAAGTGTCACAGAAATGAATAAGTTCGATCAAGTTATCGAATTTATTGATGAGAATTCGATAACTACTAGCTAATAGCACTACTGATGAATTAGCAAATTTCTTATGATTACAGTTTATTTTGCAGCATTCTTTTTGTCGACTACTTCTTTGATAATATTTTCTAGAGATATTTTCTCCAGTCCTAGTATTTCGTTACTAGTTTTGTTTTCGAAATTGCTTGCTCCTTGTCCATTATAGATGACATTTAATAGGTAGGAAAAAACACCTGAGACGATGTCTCCCTTGGCAAAACTCTCCGCGCCTTGCGTAAGAAGACTCTCTGTGCTGACTTGTTTTGTCGTCCACTTGCTAGCCGTATATTTCTCGAACAAGGATAATGCCTCTTGTTGCGAGAATGTTGCGTCGGCAATGTAGATACGTTTGTTTTTTGTCAATTCTGGATGATGTAATATGGCGACTACCGCTTGGCCTACATGAGGAAGAGTGATGCCAGAAATAAGATGTATGCCTTCATCATAGAGAGTACATGTATGGTTGACAATGTCAAAACCAAGAATACCGTTGTCGAAGCCCCAATCGAGAAACATGCCAGTGATGATAAATGTATGAGCGATTCGTGATTGGTTCTCTTTGAGCAAATTAGCAACAGCAATCTTTGAAGCTAGAGCGGGATTATTTGCTGCAGCAGAATGACTTGTATCGACACCAAATTCGGATGGAATAAACCATTTAACGCCTGCTTCAAGAGCAGCCTTCAACAGAACCGAATCGAAATTGTTTGACACAGCTTCAACACCTACTAACGATATCACTATTTCTTGACCGTTGAGAGCTTTGACTAGTGCTGTGTTGTTGGAATAATCGGTCTTGATTACTTTTACATTGGAAGGAAATGCCGAAGAGGAGTTCAGACGAGTGAGTACACTGACGTTAAAGGAATTATCAGCGATAAGAGCCGATAGAATGTGTTTGCCCAGATTGCCACCTGCACCAACTAGCAGAATGTGTTTGTAACTGGTATTTGCCATTGATAATTTGCAAACAAGTTAACAACTATTTTAATGAATACTGTCTAAAAGTATATATGTAACATGTCTTTATATATTTCGTTCTGTTTCTGCTTCGTCAGCATGGCGAGGCGTTGTGATTTATTTTTCTTCACGAGCAACCATGATAACCCAACTGTACACGCGTGACACTACAAAGAGAAAAGAAAAAAACGATGAAAGAGTGAAAAGGAAAGAAAGGTGGTGAGCTGAAGGTAGCGTCGCTTCTTATTATGAAGGCCCAAAAATGTGTTTATATGATATTTTACAAGTGTTCTGAAATAGCATATGTGACACAATTATATATCTAGAATGATGTAAATTATGTAGTTAATTCGTTTTTTGACTTTTGTTTAACAATAGCCCATCATACGCACGAAATGAGATGCAGATTCTCTTGAGTTAATTTTTTTATGATATCATGGGGATGTGAATGTAGCTCTTCTCAATCCACACTCACACTAACATCCATACACTTTTTTTCCTATTCTATGCATCAATAATTTTATGATTGATACAAAAATCACGTAGAAAGGAAAAAAAAAGAATCGATAAATTGAAAATTTCCAATCGTTTTTATTTTGTCAAATAATTATTCTATGCACCATTGCATCTTTTATCGATAAATTTCATCTAATTGCAATTTTCTAGTGAAACAAGGTTTTCTTATATTCGATCTTTCATCAATTCATAATAGTTTATAAAACTTTTTGTGACAGAAAACCTATTTAAAGTCGTTTTATACTAAAAACAACGATCTCATTTTGTTGCTTAACAATATATTTACATTTCTGTACCGAAATATTTAAAATTTTACATCAAGATAAGAAATTTTTCTCCTAAAAAACTATGTTTATTGATCGGAGATCTATAATGGTCTCTCAAAATAAAGGATATGGGTGTGAATGTCTATTGTAGGTGTAGATACTCACTCTATCCTAGGTGTGGGAAGTTACCGTTACCGTTCCCGGGTAACGGTCCCGTTACCAGTTACCCGGGAACGGTAACGGGGAGTTACCAGTTCCCGGAGAACGGGGGAGCGAGCCTATTAAAAGGGGGTACCCTTGGGTTCTCAAGTACAAATGCCAAAGTTGTATTTTCGCCGTGTTGTACTGAGTAGGAGCCAATACATATACCCATCAATCGATAGAGCATTTTCGATAACCCAAAGGCCGGCCCGAACATGGCTATGTGTTGTCCTTACAATAAGAGAAAAAAGGGCTCCTGAAATCTGATTGGTCTAACTTTGGACCAATCATATAGCAGGATACTATTTCTCAGTGTCGGGATGGATGGGGACCCATACATATACCTTCAATCTATAGAGCATCCTCGATAATCCAAAGGTCGGCCCGAACATGGTTATGTGCTGTCCTTACAAAAAGAGAAAAACAGGCTCCTGAAATCTGATTGGGTGCTGGTGTGTGGGGTGTGCCTGTGGCTGTGGGTGTGGGTGTTATTCTTCTCTTCAATCAAACCCACACCCACACCCACACCCACCCTAGCAACAGAAAATGGACCAATAGGATTATTAGAAAAATAACACAGACACGTCTGCTCATGATGGTCGTACATGTATCGATACATCGTGGCACACGTTACGTACATGTATCGACACAGCATGACACAGTGTCAAAACTTAATTAACTGATCTTTTTGTGTCACACAACTTGTGTCAACATATGTGCCGGTAGCGTGTCTTTTTGACATGGACAGTACTAAAATCATCCCTTTTCCAGGGCATCGAATCTCTACTTTATATGTTATCTTTTATTTTTACCTCGATGGTGTTCTTTTTCTTTTCTTCAATTTAAGCATTGTCATCATGAGAGTCGTGTAACGATAAACGAAGAGAGTGACGGCCAGCTTTTTTTTTTCCTTCCATCATCACTATGCACCACACATTTGCACACACTCTCTTAATTCATTTTTGATTTTTCGCTTCTTAAATGAAAAAACTATTTGTTAGATGATCACATTTCATTGGAAACTTCAGATTTTTTCAACAAACGGCACAAACCATCAAGATGGCTGAGTCCAAAGATCAGCTCGTGTTTGGCTACTGGGCATGTCGTGGTCTAGGTGAACCATCACGATTGACTCTTCAGTATACTAAAACACCTTATACGGAAAAAACTTATCATTTTCGTGATGCACCTGAATACAGTCGCGATGAATGGCTCAAAGAAAAGTTCAATCTCGGCCTAGGTTAGTTCATTGACACATTCATTCGCACTAATCCGTATTACTCATCTAGATTTTCCAAATTTACCCTATTTAATGGATGGCGATTTGAAGCTCACACAATCTAAGGCTATTTTATACTATCTCGGTTGGAAATTCAATCTTCTGGGCACGAATGCAAAAGAGGAAGCTTTGATTAAAATGCTCTGTGAGCAAGCATATGATCTTCGTGTCCAGTATGGCGTTTTTTGTTACGATCAAAATGGAGATTCTGAAAGTGAACGGAAAAAGTTTCTTGAAACAAATGTTACAGAGTATATAAAACAATTCGATGCTTTTCTCAGTAAGAACAAGAGTAAATTTGCTGTTGGTGATAAACCTACTGTGGCTGATTTTCAATTATTTGATTATATCGATGCTTCTTGTTCACTTGAGGGTGGACGTACACTACTCGACAAATATACCAATGTGAAAGAGTTACTTCAACGAGTTCATGAATTACCCGAATTGAAAGATTATATTCCCAATGCTCATGCTCAACTACCAATAAGTGGCAAAAGTGAGTGTCCACTGTGTTTTACCAAATACATGCATGTTTTTAAAATGATATTCTTTTTAGTGTCGAAATTTGGTGGACAAGTGATTAAGCCAAAATGAGATGCAGATTAGACTGGAGAACATCTGCTATTTGTGTTTCACAGTGTAATAACTATTTTTTAAATTAATAAGTGCATTAAAAACAATAAAAGCTCATATTTAGAATGCTTATAAAATTGCTTAAGTGACAGTGTTGATGAGTGAGTGAACCAGTTAGTCCAGGTTAACCATTACGATAACCGTAACGACTGAATACGATGACGTGTATGACTGTGTGCTACTGCTTACGACCGTAGACTGCCGTGATTCGCCGTTTTCATAGTGCTCATATTGCGACAGTGAATCGCGTGATGTAACCGGTTGCGAACGATCCAGCAGGGTATGGGTGGGTGTGTGGTGTGAGTGTGGGTGTGAGTGTGGGTGTGAGTGTGGATGTGGGTGTGGTTCTTCCCTGTAGACACACCCATAAATTTACACTACAATGGTAAAAATTTTTTATTGATTTTCAAATTTACTTTTCATTTTCATTTATTTTTGTACAGGTTGATACTTTCAGTCGTGCCTATCTTTTTGATCAAGCACAAAAATTTATTGATGAATTTGAAAAATCTCATCGTCCTTCAATTCCAATGTAGAGTAAGTTACTTGTTTTTCTTCTTTTTATTAATATGCAATCGTGTCTATATATTTTCATTAGTGTCAATGCTCTCATCTGCTAGGAGTGCTAGGAATACTTCATTATCACGAAAGATTTTTGATCGTATTCAATCAAATTTTTCCGACGTTCAAAGTTGTCTTACATCGGTAACAGTTCTTCTTGCTGATACATATGCGTTAAGTGGCAATAAGTTGATAGCATCAAACATACGAACAAAATTAAGTCAATCGAGTATGAAAAAAGCTGTTGGTTATTCTTGGACTGTTATTAGTGGAAAAATTTTTGTGAGTTAAATCAATATAAAGAGAATCATGTTTTTTGTTTTGTATGATTAGAAATTTCGAGCTCATGATCGATCTCATCCATGTTCACAAGAAATTTATGTAGAATTAGATAGATTACGAAATGAACTAATTGAACATGGTTACAAATATGATGAATCTTGGATAATACGACCATTAGAGAATGGTGAGACCGCTCAATCAATATTATCTGGACATAGCGAACGACTTGCTATTGCTTTGAACTTGATTCAACGGCCAACTCCAACTCGGATTCAAATTGTAAACAATTTACGTATTTGTGGCGATTGTCGCTAGTTCATTAATTCCCTTTTTTTTTTGTTATTGTTTTTTTTTTCATCATAGATATATGGACAAAATTGGTTGCTAAAATTCGTCAATGTTTGATAATCGTTCGCGATGCCAATCGCGTACATCATTTCTATCCTAATGGAGAATGCTCGTGTCAGGACCATTTTTGAATAGAATATTTCGAACACTCGAACATTGTTTTATTTTTGCATGTTTTCTCGTGTTTTTCTACGTATATTATTCTCATCTGTTGAATACTTGTTTGTTGTTCACTTTAGGGATGTCTGTTAGCTAATCGACATAGAACCAGATTAATTGTAAATTAATTATTATATGTGTAAGTAAGATATTATGACAGATCGAAGTATCTATTGAAAGAAGAAGGCATAGGGATTAGATGTCATTATTTTGCTGATAGACTTTGTTTTGTTTGAGTGATGTATACATTATTGGACTATCGTTTTTTTTTTATAAAATATATTTTTATATAAGAAATCAATTTTTTTTAAACAGTCTATTTATCCGATAATATTTTACGCAGTTATTGCAAGTCTTTGTTATTGACAAATTTTCTTATTGGATTTCATCATATGATTCGATTGTTATTGATTAATATGACGTCGATTATGTCATAGATGTTCGAAATGTGCACCACTCACGCCTTTCTCATACCAGCTGTAACATTCTATTGCTGGAAGTTTTTTAAAAAAGAAATATAAATCAAACGTTGAAAGTTAAGAGAAGGAATTTTATGGATGAAAGGTTCCTCCTTTGTGAGATATTGTTTGTTTTATTACCGAATTTTGATAGTCATTTGTTTAATTGATAAATTAAGTCGGCAAGAATCTTGATTAAAAACTAATTCAAATCTCAGTTAATATTACTGTGACGGGCACATTGTATTCAACTTTGTCTTAAATTTAGATTTGTATAAATTTAATTAGAAAGCAAGTTATGATTGAAACGAATCAACACTATTTTTTTAAGAAATATAATAGCGCCATCAGTATGAGAAAAATTGACAAAAAAAAAATTCTACAATTACCGATAGATGTATTCGCCTAGCCATTGCTTCGCTCACTAAAATGACTTTATAGCAGTGGTTATCATTGTAGCTATTTTGGACTTGCCACCATCCCATCCTTCGCGCTGTCCCGCTTCATTTTTTACGGTATATTGCACATTTTTGATATATATATGTCAAAACTGAAAATTTGAATTTAATTATTGAAAATCTTTTCAAATATTTAGCACGTGAAACTACATCGAATGGTAATACAAATATAATGGTGCTAGATTTGTGAACTTATTCGAACAGTATCTTTCGAAAGAAGTCTTACATAATATCTACTCATTGTGTTATCTATATTACATTGAGTCAAACTACTTGGGCAAGTGCTAAAGTACTTGCGAAACTTTTCATCATCGATTCTAAACTTACGCAAGATATTTCTCAATAACATATGGGGATTTATTGATAGTAAGCACTAGTGATACGTGATTTTTTTTTCTATATAAAAAAGCACACTTTATTGACTAATGCTGCATTCTGTTATTGGTTTTTTTTTCTCTTCCTGTAGAACCATTTTCTCCAAGCTGATAAGAGGGAAAAAAGAAAGCAAGATCATAGAATTGATGATGCAAAGGAAAAAAAACAATATTTAATTTCAGATGCCGATAAGGCCACCAAATCCGAATCCATTGTTGAACGCTAGTAGGTATTCACGTCTATTTCTACAGTAAGTAACTTTGTTGTTTGTCAAAACAATTGCAGAACATTAATCTATCCATAGATGGGTATTTCCATTGATTTCAAAATGTCGTAAACAAGGAACACTTGATGTTAACGATCTCTATGAACTTCTTCCTGATTATGAAGCAGCAGCATTAACGGATAAACTTGAAGCAAATTGGTTTGCTGAAACTAAACGAAATCCTAACAAACCGAGTCTAATTCGAGCTACATTATGCACTTTGAGATGGAAACCATTTCTTATTGGTCTTATTCTTATTCCTTCTGTAAGTCTAATATTCTAATTGATCATTTTCATTTCGTAATCCATATTTGATAGGAATTTTTTGATATTATCCAACCACTCTTACTTACATTTCTAATGAAATTTTTTGAACCATGTTCTACGATGCCAGCTTGGCATGCTTGGCTTCTAGCTATGAGTACAATTTTTACAGCATTTTGTTCTAGTGTTATTGTCAATTATGTAAGTCTTTTTCTCTTTTTTTTTCGTGAAGATTATATCATTGTATTCGCCTAGGGAATTTACTTAAATAATAACTTGGCTTTACAAATGCGTGTTGCTTATAGTGGTCTAATCTTTCGAAAAGTAAGTATCAAAATGTAAGAAATAATCGATTAAATTTTTTAAATTAAAATTATTAGTTGCTCCGTTTGTCGAGTCATGCATTTAATAGTATTAGTTCGGGTGAAATTACTAATCTATTATCGAATGACGCTACTCAAATTCAAATCACTCTCTTTTTCATTAATTATTTATGGGTATGTTTACAATTTTGTCAAGTATCTTATTTATGTAGTTCATTTAATTATTCAAGTCGAAATTTTTTAAATAATCTAAAAGACCAAATTCATACATGTGACAAATAGAAACTGTTAGAAATCTTACACTAGCTTCTTTTTTTCAAAGTAATAAATACAACTCATTAATATCTATATCAATTAAAGATAGTTACAAAAAAAAATGCTTCTTTTATGGCTCAAGAATTTTGGTTATTCGTTACTAATAGTGAATTTGTTTGTCTTCTGATTAGTGCTATGTTTTCCTTCAAAACTTTGTTCTGGTCTTGATATATTGAAAAAAGTACGCCTTCTAATTCAAGAAAAACAGCTATACAAAAAAGGCGTCTATTCTAGAGTAAAATAGTATTTTACAATAGTGGACAAAAGTCTCTGCTCTTGTGAATCTAAGCTGTGCCTTACTTTGTCAAGACTGCCACAACTCTATTTCTATTGCTTAAGCAGAAAGAAAATAATGATAGGGACTGTTAATGTGAAGAAAAACATCTGATGTCTTTTTGAGACGAGGACGCAATAGTAATTCAGTGAATGAACGTCAAACTTTTAGACAAACTACCTCTACAGTTGTACATTAGTACTTACAAATTTTATAATCAAACTGTATACTAATGAGAAATGACATTGCTATGACCCATCGTGTTGATGAGACGGAAGATTTAGAAACAATATTTAAGCAAATGAACTCATCTTTTGAGTAAAGAACGACCATAGACTAAACTCCAATTTCACTCAAAAACATCATGTAAAATTAGATAGACAGTCATTTTCAGGTTAAAGAATTTGATGTAAAAAACTGATGCCATCCGTCATAATTATCTTTGTACTTAAGCAATAGAAGCAGAATTGTGACACTCTTGACGAAGTATGTGCACAATAATTTTTAAGCATTCAGCATTTGTAATGAATGAAATTCTCTTGAGCGGAGACTTTTGTCCACTACTGTAGATAAGCCTAAAAGTATCCGGTTCAACATTGGGCTGTGTAAACAAGTAGATAGATGTGGATACAATTTTACTTTTGACTAAATAGGCAAGTCGAGCTTGGAATAAAATTAAATTCTCTTAACATTTTTCAATCAATTAGTCTTTTTTCTTGATTTTCATTAAATTATTAAAATTCTTCCATTTTCTTTCTATCAATAAGATTTCGTTTAACGATATTTTTTCTCAATTCTGGATCAATTGTACATTGTTCTTGTTTTCTATTAACCAGTTGCAATGTTTCATTTTCTCTTTCGCCAAAAGCAGTACACATTTGAGATAAAGTTTTATATATAGCTCAACACCTATTGTATATTACTTAGTAGGTCGAATACCGAAATTCATGAGATTCGGATTCGCTACATTATCCAATCATTTTCAGAAACAGCTCGAACTATAAATTAAACAGTTGAGTGTGATCATACATTTGTGTCACTTGATATACACGTGATATTGTACAATAAAACAATCATTATCGCATGCGTTTTGAATAATGCCATATGTGTCTGTTAGTTATTCAATAAAACAATAATCTCTTATGAGACTTCAATACAGTAGAGAAGAAACGTTTGTTAAATCGTATTCCTGCGCACAGAAGCACACCATATCAAAACTCTATTCACATTTTTAGAATATGAAGTCAAGGATTTACCAAACTTTCCTATTTCTCAATGATTCCTTATTGGATCGTATTGAAGATCAGGGATGTGCTACTTATACAAATAATTCTTGTTTTTGTCTTTGATAGCTTTCTCCACTTGAAGTTTTTATTCTGATCTTACTATTCTGGTATTATGTCAAACAAGTTTCTTTAATTGCTGTCAGCTATACACTTGTACTTCTGGTTATTCAGACAATCTTCAGTCGTTTTATACTTCATTTTCGGTTTGTCAAATTCGTAAAGTATGACTTTCTTGATAACTGTTTATATTCATTGTAGAAATAGTATTTTACAAGTCACGGACCAACGTGTAAAGATTATGTCTGAAATAATTAAATCAATGCGTATTGTTAAAATGTATTGTTGGGAAATGGCATTTGATAAAAAGATTCGTCATGTGAGAAGGTAAACTTCCTTATTATCGTACTAACTTATTAAGTCGAGTTTTTTTAGACGTGAAATTATTCAATATATGTATTGTTTAATGTTCGACTGTGTTCAAATGCTCTTCTCACAAACATATATCAATGTAACATTTTTGATGATGTATGGAACAATGTGGTGGTTCAATATTCGATTTGACATACGCTTCTTTGCAGTTGCATCCTGTCTACTTAGCCATATGAGATTTAGTGTTGTTGAGTTTTTTAATAATGCTGTGAAAGATCTTGTTCATTATATGGCTGCTCAGAAACGGATACAGGTTAGTTTTCTTGTAATTTTATCAATGAATCTTATAAAATAATATTCATCATAGACATTTCTTTTACTTGACGAATCCGAACGAGACAATCGATTATTGTCTCGATCACATTCCGAACTTGCATACATCGAACAAAATGAATCAACAATAGTGAAAAATAATCCAACACAATTACCAAAAGTTATATGCAATTTGAAACAAGCACAATGGGAAAAGGTATAATTACTTCTGCGTAAGATAATAAAGAATAGTCGAGATTTTTGTATCTGGAAGTTACCATGATTTCCATAATATATCATGAGCAGTAATTCATTTGTTAAATTTTGTTAGAATTCGATACAAGCTTAATGCATATTGACACTATTCATGACTCGATTTTAGTTTGTGCTATCCTAATATAATGCGAAAGGATGCAGAATTTATTTTCTACACTTCAGTTTCTATCAAACGGATACCTAGATAACGAAATTTTTTCAATATCTAACAGATTTAGTCCAAGGCTCTTATACTGACAGTTTCTTCATCAATGCTCTTGGCCGAATTCGCACGCAGGCTGCAACACCGATGCCAGGAAAAATCGATGTCTTAGGGAGTTGTAAAAAAAGAAACTTTTATTTTCCAAATTTTACCATTGACCCAGAACAAAAGGACAGACAATTGTGCTTTATTATAGTATAATGGATACAGAATCACCAATGGTTACCTACAATCATACTGAAGGAGATCGAGAGCCCTACTCCTAGACAGAGAGAGAGAGAGAAATATTGAACATGCACAATTCATGTGTACGAAGAAATAATATAGTAAATTTTTAGCATATGTCAAGATAGATCTAAATTTCTGCACAAAATCGACCTTCTTTTTTGGATATTTTAATCTTTCTTACATCAAAAATCCTTCAAAAACAGTTTAGCTGTTTAACTACTGTCAAGGGGGAAAGTGCAGATATCATGTACCAAGTTATTCTCAAAGGTATTGAGTTGGCGCCGAGGTACCAGAAAAGTACTAGTTCGGAAATTCCAGCACCTCAGCACCTTTTGCTACTGGAAGTTAGTAGTGATAGGGATGTACAGCTTACAGTCGAGACAGCTGTTTCTCAGCTATTGTAAGGACAAAACACACTGATGTTCGAGTCAGATGAAAGAGAACCTGAGTAACCCCAGGATTGGCCAGGACAAGCCTATACTTTGTCCTTACAATAGCTGAGAAATAGCTGTCTCGAATATGAGCTGTACATCTCTATCATTACTAACTTTCAGTACCAAAAAGTGCTGAGGTGCTGAAGATCCCAAATCTACACTTCTCCTCTTGACTACTACATATACGTAAATAAATGAAGCAATAGTTTTGACTTTTGAATTAGTCGCAATTTGAAGAGCTGAACTGCAACCAATATTCTACTATTTAGAACGGATCATTTTGTCTTAAAAACATTGTATTCGATGCTCATCCAGGTGATTTGATCTGTATCATTGGACCTGTCGGAGCTGGAAAGGTCGGTTTATTTTCTCAAAAATCAATATTCATAAATACTCATATATAGAGTTCACTTTTGCAAACACTCACTGGTGAAATTGCAATTTTCGATGGAAAAGTTCGAATGCATGGTTCATTCTGTTATGTACCACAAGAATCATGTAAATTATATTAATTTATATTTAAAAAAAATGTTTTCTTTGATTTGAATTAGGGATATTTTCTTCAACTATTAAAACAAATATTCTCTTTGGCAAAGTATATGATCGTAATTTATTTCACAGGGTTGTTAAAGCAACTGCACTCGATACAGTATGTAGAATCAAATATTTGACATATATACATTTATAATAAATAGGATTTTGCTCAATTACCTAATGAGGAAAATACTCTTGTTGGTGATCAAGGTGTTATGTTGTCTGGAGTGAGTAATACATTGTTTGATACAAATTTAAGGTAGTAAGCTGATAATCGTATAGGGTCAAAAGGCACGCGTTAATATGGCTAGAGCACTCTATCGCAATGCAGATATCTATCTTCTGGACGATCCTTTATCTGCTGTCGATGCCAAAGTGGCTAAACATCTCTTTCAAAGGTAAATCAATTTTACATAATATTGTGATTTAGCAATCAGCCGTTTCTCATAGCTCTATCAAAAACTATCTTGCTGACAAGATTTGTATATTGGTCACACATCAAATTCAATTCTTACAAGGTGCAACAAAAATTATTGTACTTAACAATGTATGATTTGTAATTGATTGAAGTTTTTTTGAATAAGTTATCGAATGTTATTTCAGGGTGAAATGGTACAAATTGGTACTTATACTGATCTGCTTGCTTCATCAACATCATTTGCTCGTTTACTTGATGATATTCATCAATTTGAACA